AAAGAGCTTTCGCGAAAAAAGAAAAAAAAATGATGGAAAAAAAGAGAAACCTGACTCACCGTCTTATGGCTGAAAGAGAGAGAGAGAGAGAGAAAGAAAGTCCATTGTTTCTTTGCGTTTTCCAAGAATAGCGCAAATTAAGCTCTTGTTTTTAAATCGCATTTTGCCTCGGAGCATCTTAAAGCTTTGTTGTTCTAGAGAATCGACGTATTTTTCAACGCACGAGGAGTTCAGGTTTTGCGCTGCAGGCATTCTAAAGTTCAATTCTCTTTGATTGTCTCTAAATATTACTATTCAAGAAAAAAGTGGGCGCGAAAGAGAAGAGTGTGTCGCTTCGTAATTAATATAATTTTAGGGAAAAACGTTGTGGGTGAAATGTATAATTCGATAAGTAATCGATTGATCCATGAAAATCGATTAATTTCATGATAAAACGCACGATAAAGAGGATTTTAAAAAGAGCGATAATAAAAAAAATTTATTTAAAAGACATGTATTTGGGACACTGCTTAAGTAACAATTATTGTTTAGTTTTACGATGAGGCAGGGATGTGCGTCATTCGAAAAGATTTCAAGTGACTTTCTTTGTGTATAAGTCAATTGTTATCATTACCTTTGTCATTACCCTTGTGTTAAGATGTGTGTGTAATAAGCAATACTTTTCGCGAATAATATTTTCAAACTCGAAGAACTTCTTACTTGAAAGGCATGTGAAATCCCTTGTAATTGAAAAATAAGCAGTTATGACGTTTTACGAAAATTTTACAATGCTTATTAATATTTTTTTTTATCAGTAAATATTTTCCTGCAAATATTTAGGTCTTATTTTTCTCCAATTATTATGTTTATTCTTTACATTACAGTAAAGTGCAAATAAAATATTGTTTAATTTTATTAATATTTTTTTAATACACTCATATCTTTGTATGAGATAAAATGTACAGTAATCAGAGACTGCTATATTACGTTAGTATTAATTGAAAAGCTTGCTACAACAATGGGCTAACCTACTTTTCTTAAAAACAGTGTAAATAAATTCTAAAGTGATGGGAGAAATGGATTACTGATATCACATGTCGCCTACATTATGAGTATATTGATATTTTTTCCATTACTTTATAACTTTATAGTTCAATTACTCCGCTTTTATTAAATATAGGTTAGCTCATTGTTGCAGCAAGCCCCTTCAGTATAGTAACTGATTTATATTTTAGATGCTTGTGGAGCAACCATCAACTGGTAGCTAATTAAATTTTATGACATGAAAGAATGAAACGAGAAACTGTCATTACCATTGTAGAGCCTGATCGACGTGCGCAAACGGTAAGATCTGATTATCTATTTTTGTATCCTAATTATAATATATGTATATTTTCTCTTGTATAAGAATTTTCTTCTATAATTTGAAAATTTATTAGTTTATGTCCACTTTTTAAATATTTATTACCTAAATATATTCATCTAATATAATCTATATTAAATAAGATAAAAATATTATATGTTTTTATATTATTACTTCAATATCTCATTGCTTTTGCAGATGACGACGGTATTGGATAGTAGCTATCAACGTATACAGCCTTACGAGGGGCAGGAGGAAGACGCGGACGATGAAGACGATCATGAGGAGGCGCCTCAAGAATCAGGTGTCATTATCCATGTGGTACCGGAGGGTAACAAAGCACGATGGAATCACATCGAAGACTTAGATTCATTCTTCACGCGAATGTATCACTATCATCAGCAGCATGGCTTCGTCTGTATGATGCTCCAAGAAGTTTTGGAATTACTGCAATTTTTTTTTGTAGTCACATTCGTTACCTTTCTCTTTCACTGCATCGATTACAGCAAATTATATAGGTATAGAAGTCAAGTTTGAGGCAAATTATCACGCACATCATTTTAACAAATATTTAATCGATGCTTTATATTTTTAGTGGTGGTGGAAATACTAACGATACCAAAAGCGATGCGATAATGTGCATGGGAGATTGTATAAAGTCGATCTCTTCATTTTATTGGAGTCTTCTCGTAGTCGCGACAATTTTCTTTATCCTCCAATTCCTTAAAGTTTTGTATCACCTAACGCAGTTCTGGGAGATCAAAATGTTCTTCAATACAGCGCTCAAAATCGCCGACAGCGAGCTAGACAATTTTACGTGGCACGAAGTTCAGAAACGTGTGATAGAAGTGCAGAAGGAGCAAGAGATGTGCATTCACAAAAGAGAACTTACGGAATTAGATATATATCATAGGATATTAAGACATAAAAATTACATGGTAGCTATGATCAACAAATCACTCTTACCTGTGCGACTCAAAGTCCCCATTATAGGAGAAGTCATTTTTTTGACACGGGGTTTGAAATATAATATAGAATTATTACTATTTTGTAAGTATAATTGCATAATATGTATATGATATAACTTTATTAGAAATAACTAATTTATGTCGCTTTACTAGGGGGACCATGGTCACCATTCGAAAATAATTGGCATCTAAAGGAAGATTATAAAAAGTTAAACAAAAGGCAAGAACTCGCACGATCATTGTCTAAACATATTCTGTGGGTCGGTATCGCAAATTTCGTCCTGTGTTTCCTTATTCTTCTATGGCAGGTTCTTTATACGTTTTTCAATTATGCTGAAGTGAGTAATTACGCTGATTTATAGTAATCAATGTCCGCGTTCAACAGAATGTTTATTTTGCAACTGTTGGAAGTTTTCTTCGCAACGATTGAATTATACTTTGATCTACAGGAATAGTCCCATCTCTGCAAAAACTTCCAACAGTTGCAAAATAAACATTCTGCTAAACGCGGCCAATAATTTATTTAACACGATAATCAATACTAACATATGACAATAATATTATCGATAGACTATTAAACGAGAGCCAAGTGTTCTGGCGATGCGGACGTGGTCTCTATACGGTCGATTGTACCTGCGACATTTCAACGAACTCGATCACGAATTGAATGCGCGTCTCAGTCGCGCGTACCGTCCTGCTTCGAAGTATATGAGCAGCTTCACGTCTCCGATAATGACAATAGTCGCAAAGCACATAGCGTTTATCACCGGTAGCGTATTGGCAGTGTTACTGGTTATAACATTGATTTATGAGCCAACGTTTTCGATGGAACGCGTAGTTGCCTACATGACCATGTTAGGAGGAGTGGCAGCATGCGCGAAGGCAATTGTACCCGATGAGAATCTAGTTTGGTGTCCCGAGACTCTTCTAACTGCTGTGCTAGCCCACACGCATTACAGACCGGATAGTTGGCGAGGGACTGCTCATACGCATACCACTAGAGCCCAGGTAGCACAGTTATTCCAATATCGCGCGGTGCATCTGTTGGAAGAATTGGTTTCTCCATTCGTGACAACATATATTTTGTGCTTCCGTATGCGACACCGAGCCTTAGAGATTGTAGACTTTTTTCGTAACTTCACGATTGAAGTGGCTGGAGTCGGTGATGTGTGTAGCTTCGCTCAGATGGACGTACGTAGACATGGCAATCCCATGTGGCAGACTGTAGCACACAGTCCCACGGTCTCTCCGCTGCCAGAGGAGAGACTGCATCATAGTGCAGGATACGACAATCAGTACGGCATCGATCCAGACAAGTACCACGTACCGATGTCGAATCATTATACCCAGGCTGAAGACGGCAAGACCGAATTATCCCTCATACATTTTACTCTGACGAATCCCGAGTGGAAGCCACCGTCCCACGCGGAAAATTTCGTAACTGCTTTGAGAGAAAGAGCTAAGAAGGAAGTAACTGCCGATCCTGATCCTTATAATAATCCCCTGATAGCTAGTTTGAACAGTCTGTCCGGTCTTGGCGTAAGTGTTCGATATTTCTTTCGCTTATTAAATAATTTTACTTATAGAACTGTTTGCTTTATGCATCATTAATATATTAATATATTGTTACAGTACAGAGATCATGTATCGAATATTATTCGAAGTACGATGAATCAAGTGAGTGTACCGAGCATGAGTAACATTTTCACAAATCAGCCAGGTACATCAGCTACATCGGTTGGCGTCGATCAGTCGTTTGCCACAAGATCTACCGTTCTACGTCGAGGTGTGTCCAGGACGGAAGGTCCATTACACAATGATAGAGGATTCCTGTATGATTTGCAACAAGGTATATCGAATCAGTCGCTAGGTGCTTCTGTATTCGGATCGGGCCACAGTTATGTTATGGAAACGCATACAGATCCGTATGCACCTACAGAATTAACCGCTGCTGATATGTCTTTGTCTACATTGTACCTGCATGAGCTTCATCATAGACAAGTAAGTATTTTGATCAATTTTCATGATGCAGCAAACGTTGCAAGTACAGCGTAACAAAGAACGTTACAAGCAACTTTGACAAGATATGTAAAAAATCAAAACGTTTGATCTCTAGGTAAGAAGAAGGGGTTACCAAGAAATGGCAACGAGAAGTATATGGCAGCGAAGTCCCGTTCAAGAGCTAGCAACACTTCCTGAGGTTAGACAAGAAAGAATACCTCTCCTGTTGCATCAGGATTCCTCTTTAAGGAAAAATAGAGAGTCCTAACACTAGAAATTTCATTTAAATAGCATCCGATTCGCGCAATAATCATCATTTTTAGAAGAATAAAGTGATTTTTATCTGTTTTATGATATAACGAATCCATGATTTATTTTACAATAAATAAGTAGTCGCAATATCCGAGAGTGAAATTGTTTGAACATTCTCGGTGTTATATAGAAGTTATTATGTCTTCTAAATATTTTACACAGAATGCAGAGAGAGCATATGCTTCTTTCTCTCTTTTTCTCTCTCTTCTTTCTCTGTATGTGGCCAACGATCTAATAATGCCTATTCTTAATATCAAAGGCCTATTTAAAAGCTTACGTTTTATATGTAAAATATCCACACTTAATGTTATTATATTTTATATTTTGACGTAATGAGCAAGGCTCTATATATAAAAAAGTACAATTGATTTAAAGGGTTAGATCCAATATAGCATTGTAAGTAGAAATTTCGACATTTTTTAAAAGAAGTAGTCTATATATGATGTTGTAACGTTTCTACACATTTTTCTAGATGTAATCTTAATTTTTAGAGGGTATCTTTAAAACTCATCATTGAATTGATATACATTATATATATATATATATATCTGTATAGCGGTTATTTATAATGAAAACATTGTTTTCTGAGTTTAGAACATAATTTTGAAGCTTTTTTGTCTAAATTGCTGTAAATCATTGTCATGGTTAGAATTATGTAAATATTGTTTGAGTAAATTTATGAACTAAAATAATTTAGTTCATAAATTAAAGGGCTAAGAATATTCCTTTCAACATCAAAAAGATACATTTTTTACGCTGATTTTTTAACAGATCTAATCCCTTAATTCAATGAGCTTTATTATGCTAGAAATGCAGCATATGTCAAAAGTTTGTCCAGTGACAATTAGGATATTTCAATAATAAATGAGTTGAATATAAAGGCTAGCATAATCTCCTTCCTTAGAGTGATAAAAGAAAAAACAAAATAATGTCTTTTCGTTTAATAGGGAGAAGTGCGTAACTTACTTGTCCGATAATTATTATCACCTCTCAATGCCACAATTCTCTAGTCATACGAAATTAATATCGCGCCGTAATATACTTCTTTTTTTTTAGAGATAAAATGGTTCTATTTATTTTTAACAGTTTATTTTTATTAACTATTTTAACATCAATTGTTAAATATTTAAGTACTAAGTATATTATAGTAAATTTGTATCATGTGATCTTGTTATTGACTAAATGGAATTACTTAATTGAAAGATTAATAAAATGTATAAATCACACGTTTTAAATATATATCAGGGTCAAATTTTTATAATTCTTATGATAAACAAATAAACACTAAATATTTGATTTCTTATGTGTTCGAGTTATACGAGACATATTAAAAGAGCGACTAAAAGAAGATAAAACATAAGGATTTGTAATATTTACCGTCGTCATTTCTTTTCGTTTTTTCAAATGCGAATATGTCTATCACTTTGATGAGAAGTTACTCGTTTTCTTCCGATTGATTCGTATTTATGTCAATTCCTCCAGTATTTTTTTTAGTTTTTTTATTTATGCCATGTTTGGACAAGTGGTTTGCTAAATCACCTACTTTATGTTTAAGTATGTCAAACTTCTTACAGCAAATCTTGCATTGTATGGTGTCATTTGATGTATTCAATGTAAAATTTTTCGATACCCACGAACGTTTAAATTTGTTTCGTATTTTCTCGGTTATTTGTGGATGTTTATGTTTCATATGTCTCTTTAAACTGGTTACGTTAAATGCATAATTAATGGAAGTGTTACAAACTTTACATCGTGAATTGTATCTTCCTTCGTTTTTGAAATATTGCCCTATGAAGCCTCTATGGTTATTTTGTTTGTTTATTTCTTCATCAAGACCTATTTGATGAATATAAAATAAATGTGCTTTTAATGCACGATGTTCGGCAACATAATTGTTATGGCAAATATTACATTCTGCCCTATGATTCTGCAATTTATTATAATGTTGCCATATCCAAATTTTATTTTTACTGTCTTTTTGTATGTTATTTTTGACGGTATTTTTTTCAGTTTTCTTGTTTAAGCCATGGTTGACCAAATGGCACGCTAAATCATCTATATCATTTTTCAATACATTAAACTTGTAATAACAAATCTTACATTCTAGCTTATCATCTGATGTGTTGAATATGAAATGTGCCGATATCCAAGAATGTTTAAATTCTTCATGTATTTCTTCTATTATTTGTGGATGTTTACGTTTCAGATGCTTCTTTAATTCAGGTACCAAATATCCGGTCAAAAGAGATGTATCACAAATCGTACATTTAAAAGTGTATCCTTCTTCTTGTGTGAAATAACGCCATATCGGACCGTTTCTGCAATCCATGTCTTCATCATGAAATATTTTATGAACACGATACAAGTGTACTTTTAAAATTAATGTGTTGCACGTAATGTAAGAACAAATCTTGCATTGGATTTTGCCATTTCCTAAAGAATTGCCGTAATATTGCCGTATCCAACTACTTGTCCTATTCCTTGGAAGTGCCATCACGTCTGCACAGTATCTTAGAGTGGGTATTACTAAACGTGACAATGTCTATATCATAGAGATATGTTCGACAAAGGTCGAAGAGTAACATGAGAATTTAGTTTGAATATAAATATTGATGATTTGAAAACTGATAAAGACTAAAGCCGAGAACACAGAATCCTATATAAAGCATAACGCATATAAGGCATAAGAAAATCCAACCAGAGTCCTTTATTTCATGAAAAGGAAGGAAATAAAGGACTTTGATTGGTTCATTTTCTTTATGACCTAAAAGATGTAACAGATAATTTATTATTAGATAAAAAGCAATTTTCGAGAATTGAATGGAAGATACGGAGACGAGTGTCAGAAATTCACGGTAATATAGATCATTTTTACTATATAAATATTCCTTAATTTTGTTTAAGTAACTATCGTATATAAATTTCTCTATGACTCAAACCAGCTAAAAGTAACATAAGTTAATACTATTGCTACCAAATATATATCAGTAATTTTGAATATTCTTTTATGTTAATTTTGCTAATCTTTTTAATCCCATGTAACAAATAGTATTCATTACATTTTTACTTATGTCTGTATTTTCTGAATCTTTAATCTTGCTTCATTTACATGTAATTAATTATGTTATTGATAATTTTTTTGTATTATGTAGTCGTTCTTGTATTAAATGATGAACTTATTATTATTATTGTTTTATTTTGTTAATTAATATTATTGTTACTTTATACCTTAAAAAATATCTCTTAATTACATATTTAAATAATATAATATTAATAATATTATTTATATACTTATCTTACTCTACATTATTCTCTCTCTCTCTCTCTCTCTCTCTCTCTCTCTCTCTCTCT